TTTTTTTTTTTTGCAAGATGCTGCTGAATGATCAACTACTTAAAATCGAAAGTGAAAGAAACTAACTTCCAAGCAATGCAAATTAGAAATTTATGTTAGATTACTAGAAATTTTGAATCTTGTTTTTTGCGATTAGAAATAAAGTTCAATCAGGTCAAAAATTCTTCAGTATACTCGGTATACTTCAACTCTGGATTGTCGTTGAGTTTTCACCGATGTCTATCAGTTCAGAGTCAGAGGAAACGATTTTTTCCTCATTTTTCGCGTCGCGAAGAATTTCAATTGTTGAAAGAATCAGCGACTAAACCCTTCAGCTCGTACAGCTCGTGTACTTACTGTTCTCGTTTGAAATTTTACACCGTGTACACTAATGATTCGCACGTGCGATCAGGTGCGCATAGCATATAGCTGTGCCTAAGTGCAGAGGTAGAAACTAAATATCGAAGGTGATCAAGACTGAACGCGACCAACGATTCTCCTCGATCGATCTAGCTAGAAGAAGCTAGTGTTGCGTGAATAATCCTTTCCACGGATATTATAGAATTGATCGATAAATATAATCGGCAAAAGTCCTCCGACTGGCGGAGGGAAATGACGACGACGGAGGACAGGCGAGCGAGGTGAAAGAGTTGGCGCACGGCGGAGACACAGAAGGAGAAGAAGGGAGAGGCAACGAGAGAAAGACGTCGCTTAGCAGAGAAGGAACGCCTCAGTCGTGGGAGCACGCCTGCCTCTTTCGTTTCTTTTTGATCTGCTTCGGTCTCGGGATACCATCGGCTGTCTCTTGTGTGCTTCAGTTGAGACTCGGTGTGCTCGACGTGCTCTCCTCCGTAATGGAGGAGCCCTGCTTTCTTCTCTGCACGCCCTTTCCTTCCCTCGATGCCAGTTCATCATCACCCATCGTCCGAAACAGAAAACAAAAATGAAGATTCGGCCTGGCGTTTAATTTCGCAGCTTACGCGAACTTCCCTCGCCAACATGCTATTAAAATTCGTCATCTTTCTAAACGTCAAGTAATTAGAGTGTTCCATGTTGATCTCCGTGTTGCGCCGTTGCGACGTCGAGGAAACTCGTTGTTTGATCTTGTCAGATGCTTAATTCATTCTCGCAGTTATCGTATTTCCTTGCTAATGAACAGTGCGTTCAGGTTCCGTCGTGTATGATGATTTTGCGTTTGCAGTGTGTCTGTCTGAGGTGTCAGCAGAAGAGTATCGATCCAGTAATTCCCGTGTCAGTGCAGTGAATAATTGTATGTGTCGAAGACTTTTGCAAACTTCTTCTTTAAATCACAAGATCATTGAATTGTTCTGTAAATCTTAGAAACGATAGTAGTAATCTCGGACCGGTTGAACATCAGGCATAAATAGTGGACTGAAGATAATTTTCGTATTTTCCTTCTCCGTATATTCTAATATCGTACGTGGAGAGCAGATGAAATAACAAAAAAAAAAAAAAAAGAACAAAAACAACGCGCATCAGCTACAGGTATCAGGCAGATTTTCACTAGACTCGCGGGCTAAGTACGAGTAACTTTTGTTTCGGCGGGAAGAGAATCAGTTTCGTGGGACCGGATGATCCCGTAGCTCGAAGACAGGGTATAATTATCCGCTGTGAAAGCGAGAGGGCAAAAAAAGGAACGAGAAAACAGACCCCCGAAAAGAAAGCTGTGTCTCTGCCTGTTCTCCATCGAGATGCCTCTAAACAAGGTCGACGAAGAGTCCCTGAGAGCGCATCACTTGCTTCATAGATCGTGCCGCGGCAAGGCTCACGGGAATGGGATAGCGAAACAAAGCAATCGTCGCGCGACCATCTCGTTTCCTGCCAGCAGAAGCTTCCCGAAAGAAGACCGGAACTCGATCAGCCTGGTAGACGAGGCCTCGGTTGCGACAAAATTCCCCAACAGAAGGATCAGCAGAAATGGCACTAGCTCTTGGGAGTGCAGCGACAGCGACAGCTTGCACTCTTCGGAAGCTGGCCGCGAGAATGCCACGTTCGCCAGCACGAATAACGACGATCGTCCTGCATCGGTCATGTCTGTTCGTACTATTAATGGCAAGCCAACAACTAATGGCACGACGAACGTTAGCTGCAAGAAGAAAGCTAACCACGTGCCTTGCTCGTTGGCGAGAACCGGGGTAAAAAATAATCGGAAGAAAGAGAGTTGGGCGGATACGTTGAGGGTGAGTAGGATCGACGACAGGGTGAAGCGAATGGAAGAGGGTTGGGATGACAGCAGCGTGATCGAAATACCTAGGGAGCGGAAGTGTAGGAGGATCACCGCGGAGGTGGAGCAGAGGAGGGTGGCCAGTGGCAAGTCCCCTGGTGGTGACTTTAGGATCCTCGGTCTGAGAGGATCTTCGTTGAAAGGGTGGAACAATGGTGGCTCGCAGAAGAGGAACCGGAAGAACGCGGCGTTTCAGAGGAATTCGAAACCGATCGAGGATATCATCGAGTGGGAGGAGATCGTGGAGATGGCTCTTGCGAAGAAGACAGGCTACGGCAAAGGGAAGAGAAGACGGTGTGGCGAGGATGTGGTGGACGAGGCCGTGAAGGATCGTCGAAGGGTGGATGGTGAAACGATGAACGGAGCGGGCGAGTGCATGAAACGCCTGGAGGTGCTTCTGCAGAATAGACTACCGCCGCAAACAGTCGAGGTATGTCATTATCGGCACGCCTTCGGAAACGAGAGTCAGAGTGCTTCTATCTCTCTCTTTCTCTGTGCGTGCCGCGCACGAAGGATTGCACGGCTGAGCCGTGTATGGAAATTACGGTTGCGCAGCGATAGCGGATTCGTAGAGCAGCCGAAGATGAATGCGGCTATTCATAATCGGTAAAATGGTGGATGTTTCGTATCGCGGCGGCGTGTTTCCAAAGCGTTTAATACCGCGTATCTTGCCTATCTTACAGGCAATATACATGTATGCCGAAAAATCGTGCAGTAGCCTTTGCCAAACGAAATTGCGACGTTTGATCTAACTTTAAATTACGCCTGTATCTTTTGATAAAATTTATTTTCATACTGATACCTTGTACAGCCCTTGTTGCGCAAACTTAATTGATTAATACACCTATATCAATGTTTATGTAACTAGGCCTGAGGGACGCACGTGTTCTCTGACAAATACGAATGCTTGTTCTCAAACGTTCTCGACCTGTTGTCGGTGTATTTATGGACTCATAGAGTAGATATCGGTGCCTCTAACTAGAGAATCAGAAATATTCATATATCAATATGTATATATCGAGGATTCGCTTAGTATTTTTTCTACCTAAATTCTATAGTTTCATGAAATTCCAAGAAATAAAAATATTTATATTATAATAAATTATTCTTCGATCCTCGATTGAGTTAAAAATAGATTAAAAATACGCATCGATTCGAATCCAATTTGTATGTACGTGTTGAACGTTTCTTTCCCCCGTGTCTGATTAATTGACAAGGTATAATTGTCAGCAAAATCTCAGGCAAAAAATCAGAGGCTAGTTGTTGCAGCATGAAACAGATAAAAGGCCAGCACATTCGTAATCGTGTAATTTTCCCATTTAGGATCTCTCGTGTTCGAAGGCATGCCGTGGTCTGTTTGTTTCACGAAACAATGCGATCGTTGTACACGGTGTGGAGCCCTGGGGCCCTGATTCATGGTAATTTATTACCAGGAAGTCGTGTGAGCCGTCGTTCTTACATGGTAGACATAGAACAAGTCAGTACGCTTTCTAGCAAAACGGCTGACACGACACGCGGAAATCGATGTGCGTGCACTTACGTGCTGCAACTCACCGCGTGATTCACGAAATTAGGGGAATCGTTGTCGAGACCGGCGACGTTCGCACGCTCCGTGTCGATT